TGGATGAAGTTTGCAGGTGCCTACCCTGGCACAGTGTCCCATCAGCTGGAAGCTGCACCCATGCCACAACTGGGAAGCAGGGTGCTGCTGGAAGCAGCAGCAGCTCAGGCACAACTCCCAGCTTCCTATCCCTGGTTAGGGTGCAGGTAAAGCCTCCCTCCCCTTCTCCCCTCCATAGTTGACATGCTGCTGAAACCCATGTCACATCAGAGCCAGGAGGTGGGGATAAGCAGCAGCAGCATAGGCACAAATGGAAGTTGTCTGGCGCCAGCCCAGCTCCTCACTGCCCAGACCCAGTGCAGGCATAAGTGTGGGCACAGGCAAAGCCCTCCAGTTCCGGGGGCCAGATCTGACCTCCAATCTAAATATTTGTGACTTGGGGTTTTATTTCTGAGATTTTCTTTACTGTTGTCCTGCTTTTTGCTGCAGTTTTTTTTCATGAAAGCTTCCAAATGAAAAATCTAAAAGCGGTCCAAATAAATATCCAAAAATCCATGTTAGTATAAATCCAAGGGTTTTAATACAGCTTGCTTCAAGATCTAGCCTTTCATGTGTTGCCGCTGACTCTCTGCCAGTGGGAGATAAAGACATTCCAGCGTTCACAGCTCACCTCTTGTGCTGATCGTCTGTGGAAAAGGTACAAAGCTTAATGTAATCAGCCTGTTTGTAACCCATGCTTCGTAAAAGGCAATCATTTTTCTGTGCTTGCAAGTGAATACAAAATAACAGAAGATATATCTGTATCTTATGGATTTGGAGACATTAGACTGCTTCATATCCTGTACTGTTATCAGAATGCTACCCAGAAACAAAGAACCTGAATGGCCTTTTAATGTTTTGCCCTTTTCCAGAAACAAATTATTCATGAAAGAGCTAAGACTCACACACAGACAAATCAACATTTTTTTTCCAGTACAAAGTTTAGAAGTATACTAGCTTGTCAGATTCATCTGACATCAGTTTATAGCTCTAGGATTCTATCAACAAGGAATATTTGTATTTCGAGGAAGACAAGACTGGCAAATAAACTATAGCCTTAGTGATCCCTTCCTTAGAGTAGGTCTAAAGTTGAAGATTATTGCTACGCTTGTCTTGTTTTGTTTTGACTAAAGCTGAAAATAAATCCAACAGTCTGGTGACACTGATTATTACATCTGTGGATGTTGGATTTGATGCATATTTTTAGGTGCTATTTTGCCAACACAAAGTTTTTTATTATTATTATTATTATTATTATTATTATTATTATTCTTCAATATAACAACTGTATGAGTCTGCTTTTAAACAAAACAAAAAAAAACACTTTTAAAGAGATTTTACATACTGGTCATAGGTATGCCAGAATAAATATATGCAGATGCAAGGGTAATGCAAGGAAGCTTTGGAAGCAAATTATTAGGGGTTTGTTCCACAGGCAGAGATCCCAGAGGCTGCTGTACACTGCTACTACCTGACCAAGATGCTTTTCTCAGACATACAAGACCTTTAGATGCACACGTACAAGATTAATAGCAGCAATACCAGCTGTTTTTACTGAACCCAGGGAAAACCTCATTGCTTTACCATTACTCATCTGGGTTTAATTTGAAACAGTTTGCTGGTGAAACATTTTAAAGTGCTACGGTATATTTTAAACGTGTAGTTTTTATCCGCCAGTTCAAGAAGAGTCATGATGCAGATTCTGTTGCATTGATGAGTAGGTCCCACCGGCAATATCTGGCTTTTTTTCTGCATATTTTAAACTTAATATTGGCATCCCCTAAAATGACTTCAGTAAGAAAACTCGTTAGTCAGAGGTGCTGTGGATTCCTTCACAGGCTTTTGGTGTATTACATTGTCACTGGCTTCAGCCTTTTGTGCATTCTTCAAAAGCTGCATTACAGGGAACATCTGCTTTGTTGTTTGGAAAGTACTAAACATGATTACCTTTGGATGTACTGCAACAGGGGAAAATACAGGCCCAGAGTGCTGGCTGGGCTAAGGATGAGGCTGAGTTAAAATGATTGCACTGAAGTCCAACGTGGAGCAGTATCCCCTTTTCAAAACAGTTGCCTATTAGGGTGCAGTTACAGGTTACCTTTAAACCATTCTCAACCTGCGGACTGTTAGGCACTGTTAAAGTTAGAAAAGCATGAGAGCAGTCGCAGGTTAAGGCTCTCTCTTTCCTGCACAACTGTGACTTACTACCAAAGGGCCTGGCAAGCAGGGAGGTTGCTAGGAGCCAGGACTTTCTTCCTTCTCGGGGGGCAGAGCCTCAGGGTTTCAACACAGCAAGAGCATGGAGCTCAAGGAAACATGCTACCCTGGGCTCCTTGCTCTCACCACCTGGTGGCTCTGTTCCCAGCATACAGCCACTGAGGATTAGCCATGGTGACAACATGGACCTCAAGGAAGCATGCTTTTGGCAAACTCATTACTAAACAGTTGTCTCTCCTTCCCACCTGGGAATATGGAGAGCTGGGGAGGGACTCCCCACCCATGCCCCCCCTCCCCACCCAAATTCACCTGGCTAGGGGAGAGCTCCCTGAATATGGGGAGAAGCCTTAGCCCTTGAGTGGAAGACTGTGTGAATGGCCTCCAGTTCAATGGCCTGGATCAGGTCTGAGTCCATGGAACCAGCAGCATGGTGCCATGTGGCTGGGGTCATACCCACTGAGGGCAGGTAGGGGTACTGACTTGGGGCTAGTACCACCTCCTTGGCAGTAAAGCTTAGAA